TCTGCAATTTATTCCTGAGATGATTTTTATGCTGTGCCTGTTTGGATACCTGGTTTTCATGATCATTTTCAAATGGTGCCACTATGATGTCCATGTGTCCCGGAAAGCCCCAAGTATCCTCATCCACTTCATCAATATGTTTATGTTTAACTATCGCGACTCTTCAAACGTGCCCCTGTACCAACATCAGGTATTCCTGGCTTGCTTTCTTCTTCCATGCGCTTGATTATGTCAGATCTCTCTCATACTCTTGAGTATTGCAGAATAATTACGGTATTTGTGCCATTGAGCCCTCTTTGCACCCGGTCAAGGGTGGTAGGGGCTTTACATTTCAGAACTTGTATTAAATGAGTTACAGGGCTGAGGGCAGTGTGATGGAGCAGCTCCGGTTATTCCTGCCTGGGTAATGCATGAGAAGGGTATTGCTGTGGGCTGGGAAATGGACTTGTACGTTGTCTGGGAAGAAAGAAACATGAATCCTTCCAATTGATGGGGTTGAGACTGTAAATGCTCCACGTAAAATATGATCATCCTTTATTCTGAAAGTAAGCTCTAGGGAAGGTTCCCAAGAAAGAAAATAGAAATAGAGTCTAGAAGTGAAGTCCCTTTGTCCACACTGGTAGTGGGTTTCTGGAAAACTGGCCCGAACTCAGGCTCCCCTGTGAGCATATGTGGCTCGTTGGAGGTGCTGCTGCTGCTTTTCGTGGACCGTGCCTCCCAACAGTTGGGAAGGCACCATTCTGATTTCTTCCATTTCTTTCAGCCTCATGATCAACTTAATATTTTTATTTTTAAAAGAATAAATGTCCCTTGGGAGCTAGATATACATATAAGTCAGCGACTAATTCTTTGGTAACCCAAATAATGTTTTTCCTCTGGCCTCTCCCAGTGACTAACTTGATTATATTGCTTGAAGGTAGGTTTTCACAAAAGGAAGACCCACTTCTATAGCTTGTGGTTCCTCTGGGTCAAGCTCTACGGCTAGTTTCCCAATGCCAGGCGACCCTGTGGTGTACCTGTTACCCGAGTATGATTGCTTATCTGGGGCGTCCTAGGGAAAGCCATAGTCCTCCTATGGCCATGCACGTCCCCATAAGCATGATTCCTAGTTGTGACCTCTTCCCCTACAAATAATAAGGAGAAAACACGTGACAGGGCATTTTTTTTATGAAACAAAATAAGGAATGATTTTAGGTAAGAACCAGGAAGACCTATACTACTACTTCTTCTTCTTCTTCTTCTTTTTTTTTTAAAGATTTTATTGGGGAATTGTGAGAGGGGAACAGTTCTGGGGAATTGGGGAAGGGGACCAGCCAAGTTGTTGTTCTTCAGTCTTCGTTGTGGAGGGCGCCAGTCGCCATCTGGCTTCCTGTCGGCACCTCATGGCCTCTAAGCTCAAGGTGCTGTGTTCAATCTTAGTTGCGGGTGGGCGTAGCCACCATCCCATGTGGGAGTCGAACCAGAAGCCTTGTTGTTAAGAGCGCACGGTCTATCCACTGAGCCATCTGGGCGGCAGCTCAGCTCAAGGTGGCCAGTTCAGTCTTAGTTGCGGGTGGGTATAGCTCACCACTGAACAGGCAATTTTGTCGTTACACCAGCTGAGCCATCCTGCCACCTGTTGGCAGCTCAGCAACAGCTCAGGCGCAGCATCATTGGCCCATGTGGGAATCAAACCGGCAGCCTGCTGCTCAGCTCGTGCTCTTAGGCCAACTCTTAACGAACTGAGCCACTCGGCCGGCCAAGGAAGACCTATACTTCTGAAAGCTCTCTTGTGAGCCGGCCAAGTGGCACAGTTGGTTAAGAGCTCGCTTGAAAGCTCTCTTGTGGTATTGCACCTCACTGTCATAGCACCTCTTGGTTATACATCAATGGTATCCTTGAACCAGCCCTAGGTTTTAGCATTAAACGAATGTTTTTGAAGGTTCATATGCTCACTGCTTGAGTCTGAATGAACATTTACTTGGATTTCCCAAACAGGTGTCTTTTAGGCAAAGGACTCAGATTCACCAAATGTTTCATGTGTCAATCACTCTTGTCATGAACACTGAAGCCCACACTTAGTCTGGAATATGCCCTGAGCATTGCACAGTCGATGGCGTTTCCAGCTTTTTTCTATTAAAAAAACATTTTTGGGAGTTGGCTGGTATCCCTAAGCCTAGTATGAAGATGAATTATCTTGACATGGTTTGAAGTTTCCATAACCTCATTTTGGGGTCAAACAGCTGGAAGAGACAATGGGAGTCGATAAATGCAGCCCCTTCTCAGCACTACCCTGGCTGTCTTGGTGCCACATTTGAATATTGAAGAGCAAGGGCAACAGATGAATATAAATCTGCAGTTGCTTTGTTCATCATGAAGGGGAAAGCCTTATTTAAAATTGGACAGTCCATTCCTCGTCCCCTTTTGAGCCTTCAAGTGGAGGAGGGTTATCAGGGGAATCCTTGTTACCATTGGGATAATAAGTTGCCTCGCTAAGAGCTCGGCCAGAACAGTTGAAGAAATGTCACGGCTGAAGGACCTTTTTTTTTTTTTTCCTTTTACTCCGAGCCCCAAGTTCCCAGTCCTTTTCAGTAGGTCTGACCAAGCCTTCCTGGTTCTTTTGACGATAGCAGCTCTGAGTTACTCTTCAAAACTGGTGACTAGGGAACGTATGAAAGAAGAGATGGGGGTATGTGGATGTGGAAGGAAATAGTACCAGGATCCTTAAATGGGATGGCTCCTGGGTTTCAAGAGAGACATAAAGACCACAGTTGTCTCATTCCAAAGGGCGTTGTGAGAGAGAGACATGGAAGAGAGTTCAACATAGGTTTCCCAGAACCCATTAGGTAACTTACCCACAATGAGAGGATGCATCCGGCGGACATTGTGCGGGATTTTTTTTTTTTTGGTATGTTGAGTATAGCAGGTATTTACTTAAAAATTCCAACTAGTTAATTTTTTATTTTTTAAAATTATACAAAAGTAGTATATGTTTATTGTAGACATTAAGAAAATAAAAAGTAAATTATATATACACATGTATAATTTTAAAAAAAATTAAATTCACTGGGGTAATTGGTTCATAACAGGAAAGAACGATTTTTTTTTTTTTGAAAGAGAGAGCGAGAAACAGCAAGTGAGCTGAGATCATTGTCCTGTACTGGAAATATATAATTACTGATTGAGATAATGCCTGTGCCTTAAAGTGACCCCAGGACTTTGGGTTACTACAAAGTGACTGGTAAAACCATGGGGCCGGCCACACCTTTCATCCAAAGCTAGGGGCTAACTGTTCCCATGGAACAGAGTTAAAGGGACAAGGGACAAATAAAGTTGCCCTTATGATGGGTCTCATGAGTAGTACTTGTTCAAATGACTGGTTACGTATGGTATGGCTGTATATTAAGAATAAGGACTAAAGAGGGTGAGTTTCCAGTGCTGGCCCAGTATTCCAGTGGGAGCCACTGGACTGACAGTTTTCCATTGGCAGTTAGACTGTTCAAGGTATGAAGGTGACTGAATTCACTGAAATGCTTTAGAGCGCTCAAAATACAATGCAACCGAGATGACCCATATTTAGCATTGTTATACTAAGTATGCTGTGCGGTTTCCTTAAAGTGATCGGAACTTACCATTTTGTTCTTGCAGCAAGAAGTCCAAACTTTCTTTGTTATTATGGCTTTGATTTCTGTGCCATGGATGCTTCTGATTAAGCCGTTAATTCTTAGAGCCAATTATCGGAAAGCCCAGGTAAGAGCCATTCGTTTCAATTCACTCGCTGTGGGTAGGAATGTGGGTCCCTTAGAAATAGAAATCTGGGGTTCAGAGAGAATGGTGGGCTTACCAGGGCCTGCAGGACAGTAGAGAGATGAGTAACTGGCCTTCCCCAAGTATGTGTCCTTCTGCACAGTCCGACTTTTCCCAGGGGCCTTTTTAGTTCCAGCAAAATACTCTATTAACGGCAAGCATGTTTGAATCTCATGTCTTGCAAGATTTGCTTGGGGCGCGCACGTGTGCGCGCGCGCTATATGATATTCCCTTGCACCGATATACGACAGTTTAGTTCCTCTTCACATATTGATAGTGATTTAGCTTGTTTTCAGCTTTAGTAATTACAAACACTGTTGCTATAAACATCTTTGTGCATGTCTTGTGGCACATGTGTCTTTAGAAAGTTGCAAGTAACTCATTTTAAAATTGATTACTATTTTGTTTCTGACAGTGCCCAGCTCAACCATTGTGAGATGCTTAGTTAAGGGGACTGCAAAGTATATTTTGACTGGGGAACAAGAGTCGCTGAGATTCACCAAGTCTAGTATCATGCTGCTTTCTGCAAAACTATTCCCGTTCATTGTAACCAATTCCGGGATATGACCAGAAAAGGCAAGAATTAGGGATGGAAAGGGAGAAACTATCTTCTGTTTCTTTGTTGGTATTTTTTTCCTTAAGATAAAGAGGAGAGAAAATAGGATTTCAAGAAGACAAAGTCTTGTTAACTTGAGTCACGTCCCTCATCAAAGGACAAGGAACCCACGTGGCCAAGGGGAAAGGCTTACCCTGAATCCTCCCTTGGTACCCAGAACCCTGGAATTCCTGTCCAGATGGACTCAAGCCCACTTCCAGGCCCTAAAAGGGCCAACCACACCACTGGCATGGGTACCACTAGGCCCTGTTTGTGGGGAGTGTGGGTGGAATGTGGATGTTGTGGGAGAGCGTGCCTGCAGGTGTGCACGGAAGACCCTTGTACTGTGGGGTGGAGCCAGAGGTGATAACGAAAGGATGGCACACCCATGGTACCGGGCCAGCTCTCCTGAGACTCTGAATTTGAACCTGGCCTTGCAAGTTCTTATGAGGATTGATTGATCAAGATAGGAGGCTAGATGATCAAGATAGGAGGCTAGAGCATACTTTATTTAGGAGTTTGTTGGCTTGATGTGTAACTTTTCAATATTTAAACATGTGGCATGCAGACTTCCATCATGACCTCTGCCTAGGGCCCTGCACATATTAGGTGCAGACTCGCTAAAGAAAGAAAGGTGAAGATACCCAAGCCGTGACATCAGTCTAGGAAAAACTATGGACATTAAGTTTCACAGCAACTTGAAAGAAATGTTCTATTGAAATTCACAGATAAAACCGGGCCAAATGGAATGGTGACTACACCTAGATTTTTTTTTTCAGCTATTTTTATAAAATGCTGTTTTTATTTTAAAAGTATATTTGTGTTGGAAAAGTCATTGTCTGCTCCATCCTCACAACCTAATCACCTCCCAAAGGCCCCACCTTCTAAAACTATCATCTTTGGGGGTTAGGATTGCAAGCTAGGAATTTTGGTGAGGGACACAAACCTTCAGACCATAGCAATCACTAATGTCCTAATTTTGCCTGTAGAAATCTGAGTGTTTAGGTCACAAGGCTATGTATGTCGAAGCTACAACTGATGATTTCATGACTGTATTTTTTAAACAATAGAAAGGCACTCCTACACATGCACTGGTTTACCTTAAAGACCGAATCATTTGGCACCTTGTGCAGCACGTGGTCTGGAATCAGAGTGCTTGGGTTTGAATCCTGGCTTTGCTGCTCACAAGCCTTACCAGCTGTGTGACCTTGGGCACGTTTCTTCACCTTTCTGTGCTGTAGCTCACCTCTGTAAAAACGGTATAATTGTGCTTACATAAAAAGACAGTTATTAAGGCACAATATTATCTATATTGAGATAATATAGAGCTTAGAACAGTGTCTGGTAGGTAGCTAATATTTAATGGGAGCCTTTATTTTGGATAGAATTGTTGTGAGTCTGATTCTAAGGGTGAATTTAGCACTTCATTTCCTTGCTTGATGACAGCTGCAGGGATCCATGATCCAAGGACACGCCACTGAGGACATGGAAGGTGACAGCTCCAACGCTTCCTTGCGTGGTGACCAGGGGGCTTCTGCAGGTGCCCATGGGGCCCAGGATGACCACGAAGAGGAGGTATTTGGGACTCAGTATCCTACGGAGACTTCCCAGTTTGTACAGATTCTAGAAGCAGACCTGGTCAGGGGCGATAGTCAAATATTGAAGAGCAGCACCCGCCCATCAGAATAAACTTAGGCAGTAGAGCTGTGAGTGTCGGGAGGACCCTGCGGTGGCAGCCCTGGAATTGTTGAGTCTTGTGAAGTTGGGGAGGTCCTATGGGAAGGGGAGCACCTATGAGGATCAGAGCAACAGCTACTCACCCACTAATCTAGGAGTACTGTAATACCTTAGCACACGTGCTGCTGTATCTGTGAGTGTGAGGTGAGTGTCAGCATTCAGATCTGGTGACCTTGGAGGCCCTCAATGTCACGGAGGCCTCCTTGGCTCAGAACTGGGCCCCTGGGAGTCACCCACATTTATCGTAAGCTTTCCCATCAGTGTCCCTCAAACCGTGAGAGCAGAGCCCAAATCTAGCCCTAGATACTGGAGCAAAAAGGGGGTGATTTTATTCCCAGTCCTCCTCCCCGGCGTAGCAGGCACAGCTGCCATCACCTCCTCCTGCACCCCGGCTCTGTCATGACCTTGTTGACTGATGGTTGTAACATTATCGGCCTCTCCTGTGAATTCAGGGTTTGTTTGATTCTGTCCTCCCTCTCTGACTCTTTCTGTCCAAGGGCAGCCACCCCCCCTCTCAGGAGTGTGCCCCATTTTCCCAGACGGAGGCAGGCAGCTGGCTGTTTTTCTACCATGATTGAAGTCACCCACAATCCGCACCTGGTTGGGGGTTTTTCCCTGGAGCTCTTTTCTGATTCTGGAGTGAGGACAGGGTTCCTGTGAGGCCTGAGAGGTTCTGCAAGGAGCTCCATTTGTGATGTTAATTACTAGAGAAAGAAAAAATCATTTGAACTAACGATGGTCCATTAGAATTAATGAAAAATCTGGATGATGGAAATTTTTTCCTGCAAAATTCTAGGCATAGGGTAGTGGCTACTGATATGACTAAATCAGTCAGACCTGCTGGAATGTTTTAGAATCCAACCCACACATCTTTGGACTCACTAAGTCCCAGCCTGGTTAGTATAAACTCCTTCAGCTATTTTTCTCACGCCACCTCTGCCATGAATTCGCTGTCCTTGTTTGGGCAACGTACGGGTCCGTTTGTATGCTCCTTCCCGCAGGTATAATCACGCATGGGTCTCCCATCACAAGGCAAATATAGGCTTGGCTCTCCTTCCCCCTCAAAGTCCTCCCCCACCTCTGTCCTCACCAGGAATTAGCCAAACTCAAGGTGAAGGGCACAGTTCTCCAGACTGCCAAGTCTGCCCAACACTTCTGACACTAGCCACAAGTTTGGGGGGCCTCCAGGACCACCCTCATTCAGACCAGCCAGTTATAAATTCAGGGTCCTCTCAGACTTCCTCAGGTTCAATAATTTATCGACTGACTCATGGAACTCAGGAAAGTGCTGTACTTACAATGACAGTTTGGTGGTAGAACCAGTCAGACAAAGAGGCACATAGGCAGAATCCACTCGGAGGGCTCCACATGTCAAGCTTCTGTGTCCTTAGCAATGTATGACTCTCCCAGCGTTGACATGGGGCAGTACGCGCACAGCATTGCCAGCCCAGGAAGCTCACCTGGGCTTCAGTGTCCTATGTTTTATTGGAGTTTCATTATGCAGGCTTGATTGAGCAGGCGGTTGTACTCAACCGCTAGCTCCTTCCTCTCCCTGGAGATGGGGCTGGTAACACTGCTTCCAAGTCTCAACTCTCTAACCACACAGGGTTGGTCTTTCGGGTGTGGTCAGCCCCCACATGAAGGATCAGATGTGGTCCCAGGGGCTCACCAAAAAGAACCAAGATGTTTCTTTCACGTGGGAAATGCCAAGGGTTTAGAGGTTGCCTCCCAGGGGCCAGGACAAAGCTGGACCTCTCTTTGGACAGGGTAAATTCTTCACTACACATTATTGCTTTATTCTGACTGTCTCTGCCCCCTCTCCCTCTGCCCGCCCCCACCCTTCAATTCCTCCCAGCTGTTTTCATTGCTGAATTGAGAGGCGTTGACTTTTGTCTCTTCTCCGCAGCATCTGACATAGTTGAGCACACACTCAGTTCCTTCCTGGGTCTCTCTCCATCCTTGACTGCAGCCATGTGGCTCCCCCTGGTTCATTGATCTTTTCTTTTCAACAGCAGTTGCTTTCTTATCTCAGGATGAAGATGTTTCCCAAGGCTAGGAGCTCTACTTCATATCATCTTCCCCTTGTAGATATTCTCAGTCCTCACTCCCAGTGTCAGTCCTCCCACAGGTGAGGCCCCAGGTGTCCCTGTCCAGCCTGGACTTTTCTTCTGAGCCTGTTCTGCCTCTACTGTTGTGTGCTGAGATCCTACGCTAATGGGCAGCTATCACCCGGAATGCAACCTGTCTGAGAATCGACTACTCATCTCATTCCCCAGTTTCTCCATTTCTGTCACTGCCATTCATTTAGCTACTCAGACTCAAGAACCTCAGAGCCCTGTGTAACCCTGACCCGACTGGGTAGGGGACCTTTTTCTGTGTTCCCACAATCCTGCTGCATTCTTGATGACCACACTTCCTGTACTGTTGGATGGTAACTGTCCATTTGCGCGTTCTCCCCATTAGACTCTGAGCTCCTTGAGAGAAGAGCCTGTTTCCCCCACAGAGTCAGAGGGCATGAAGGAAACGATGAGTGATTGCCGTCTTTGCGCTGTCTCGTCTCCCCTCATTAACTGGATTATTAAGCTGATCCACAAACTGGCTTTGTATAGGCTATCCCTTCCCTGATCCATTTTGCAACCAGATTAACCTTCCTCCAAATATGTATTTCCTCCTGCCACTTTCGATTCAGATGCTTTTTATGATTCTTCATTGACTCTTGGTTGTTTTCTCAACTCTGTCCATTGTTGGCCTTTCCTGAAACTTCATACCTGCCTATGTACTGTTTTCTGCACCTCACCTACCCAAGAGTCCAGTTCCAGCCGCATTGTTTTTCCCCCAAACTTGCCCTCATGATGTCCCCTCCCTAGCGGCCTTTTCCTTACCAGGAGTCATTGTCTTTACCAGGAACGATCTTGTTTCTCTTTGACCTCTGACCTTTCCCCATCCTCACAGCACACATCTCACCTCCTGTGACGACTCCCCTTACCAACCAATCTCTCTTCTTCTGTGAACCTTTTCAACTATTTCTGGGAAATGTTACTACACGTACCAAACCCTACGTTGTGCTGCTCATTTTCTCTCTACAGTATATTAATGCTTATTTTCCCCTAGTTCAACTGGAACTGTCTTAATAGTGGACCCTTGTCTTATTGGTCTGTGTGTCATTTGTAGCACGCCTTTTCTGTAGAAAGCACTGAATGCAATAGAATAAAAACCCTCTCTTTCAGTTCAATTTTGGAGACATATTTGTGCATCAGGCCATCCACACGATTGAGTACTGCCTGGGCTGCATTTCCAACACAGCCTCTTACCTCCGGCTCTGGGCCCTCAGCCTGGCCCATGCAGGTGAGTGAGGCCCCCATCAGGGCCATGATCAGAGGCCACGTGCTGGTAGGTAGAAGTGCCTTCTCTATGGGTTATTTCTGGAAACTTTGGCTCTGTAATGACTCTTCTTTCTTAGGAATAAGTCACTTTTTTCCCCAGTGGGTCTGGCTTTATATTGCTGGAGGGGTTCCCCTCCGTATCAGTTTCCTGTTGCTGCTATAACAAATGGCTACCAACTTAACAACTTGAATCATTAGAAATTTACTCTTAAGCGTTCTGGAGACCAGAAGTCTGAAAATCAAGGTGTCAGCTGGGCTGGGTTCCTTCTGGGACCTCTAGGGGGAGAAGCCATTTCCTTGTCTTTTCTAGTGTCTAGAGGCCTCCTGCATTTCTTGGCTTGTGGGCTCATCACTCTACTATCTGCTTCTGTCATTACATCTCCTTTTTCTCTAAGCTCTGACTCTCCTGCCTTTCTCTTATAAGGACCCTTGTGGCTACAGTGGGCCAACTGGATAATTCAATGTAACCTCTTTATCTCAGCCTTCTTAATCCTATCTGCAAAGCCCCCTTTGCCATGTAATGTTAACATTTTCACAGGTTCTTAGGATTAGGATGTGGGCATCTTTGGGGGGAATTCACCTTCAGAGAAGGCCTGCTTCGATTGTGAGAATTGGCGGGAGGTGGGCCAATTGGCTGCCCATTGAATTGACCCACAGTGGTACTCACCACAGTGGTGAATTCACAGCCATCCGGGGTCAGGCCAGCCCCAGTAATCCAATTGTAGTAACAATCCAAGCCCCAGAGTTGACCTAAGTCTGGAATCCTGACTCACCAACCTGCCTTGTAAGACCCTTCCTATCTTTTCCTGCTTCTCCAGCCTTGTCTCTTGGGATTTCTCTCAGTGCCCACTGGTCCCTGCACCTGCCCATTTCATATGCAGTGGCTACGAGGAACTGTGCCCCAGCTCCTGAAGATGCCACACTCTCTGGAACCCTCTGTGTGTTCGCCCTGCAGCTCCTTTGTCTGAAATATTCCTTCTTCTTTTACTCTCTCCTCACCTGATACCTTAATTCCTCCTTCAGAACTCAGCCCAAATGGCACCCCCCACCCCTGGGAACCTTCCTCCCTGGTCCCCAGTCCGGAGGTTGCCCTCATGCTGGGTCCTGGGCGTTCCCTTATATCCCAGCACTTTTTGTAACCCCATCATGAGGACCCCACCTTTATGACCTCTCTAAACCCTAATCACCTCCCAAAGGCCCCATCTCCAAATACTGCCATTTTGTAGGGGTGGGTGCAGACACAAAGATCCAGTCCATAGCCAGTCATATTACACATTTTCTTCTGTGTTTTGCTTCTTTGTTCGTTGGCATAACACTCTGTTACTCAGATTTATGTACGTTGCTGCTTCCGTTGTTGCATACTTTGCCACATGTATTTGCCCTCCTGATGGGAATTCCCCCACTGTGAACTCTCCCACTGTGTGGACCATCTCATGTGAGGCCATAGGGCACGCCCACCTGACTTCTCACCCAGGAGTGGAGATGTTGCATCCTAGGGCCTGCAGGCCCAGGACTTATCTGCATTTGCCAAATGAGCCCCATGGTTGAGAATGCTGCTCTTGCGTCTTGCAGAACTGTCTGAAGTCCTCTGGACCATGGTGATGAACATTGGCCTCCGCCTGCGGGGCTGGGGCGGCCTTGTCGGGGTCTTTATCATTTTTGCTGTATTTGCTGTCCTGACAGTCGCCATCCTGCTGGTCATGGAGGGACTCTCTGCTTTCCTGCACGCCCTGCGACTACACTGGTAAGAGTGGCCACCCGGCAGAAGCTTCGTGTGCTCTAGGGAGGGAGGACAGGGTGTAGGGCCAGGCAACTGGGCTCAAAGCCTGACTTGTGTGACATGAGCAATGTCACCTGTTGGTGTAACATTCAATGATGTCCTATAGGTGTGTATTTCATAGCTACCCTCTAATAAATGGTAGTTCCCATTTATACCTTCTCTTTTGAATTTCCATTCATTATATTACAGTGGGCTTCAAAATAAGGGACACCTCCAAGTGTTGGTAAGATGACAGATCTGAACTAGGCTCACAGAGAGCATGCTAAGCGAATATGGGAGCTTTTGCCCTTGGTGCTGAGTGCAGGAGTCGTACCCATAGAACAAGCTGCTATACTCTCCAGAAATTTGCAGCAGAAGGAGGGGACCCACAGGGAAGAAAGTGCTCCCAGGAGGCCCTTGCCATTCCCAGGTGTGCCCAGAACATCTGGACACAGCCTGTCTCGACCTTTCACTGATGCTTTCCACCTCCCTCTATGCCTGCTCTTCGTAAAGAAAATGTTTACACGTCACGTATTGAGTTGAGAATCACAGTGTCCTCTGTGTCAGGTTATAACATCATTTCTATCCCAGGGCTACCACTACTGTAGAACACACAGAACCACAGTTCTGTAAGGTTCTGTGTGTTCTGCAGTAGTGGTAGCCCTGGGATTTCAGATCAGGATGGAAACGAAACACCACATATACTCGTAACCTCGTGAAGCGATCTCCTCACGAGCCCATCAGACAAGGGTGCACGGGCGAAGGCTTGTTTGTGGGGTGCGGGGGGCCGGGTGGTGATGGTGTGGTGAGAGGCCACTGGCAGAGGCCTCTCGCTCTGTGTTTAATCCTCATTTTCTTGCCCCCAACAACAGGGTGGAGTTCCAAAACAAGTTCTACGTTGGGGCTGGTTACAAGTTTTCTCCATTCTCCTTTAAAAACATCCTGGAGGGGACAGCCGAGGAGTAGCTGCAGGTCTGACGGCTGCCGCCATCTTCTGCACCCGTCTCGGGTTTAACATCAGCCTGTGCGAGACGGTCATTGGAATGCTTGACCTCCACTAACCGGAGGCTGGAAAATATGGATTATTGATTGAGAAGCCTTGGAATTTGATATAATTTCACCATGTCATAGAACAACTACATTGGCAAGTCATTTCAGTCTCATGCGGGGTCTTAATTGTCAAAATACGAAAATGATGGAGAAATGTGAGGGGGCACTAAACTCATGTTTTCTTCCAAGATTTTGAGTACTATATTTAAGAGAATAAACTTCTAGGCGATGCATGTTTCCTTTCAGATGTCTTTATTCAACATTATTCCACAAAATTTAGTGTTGATAATTACAGGGCAAAGTGAAACAATATAGTTACGCAAACTAACCCAGGAGGATTATGCTTATTGTATTCCTTCATTTCCTGCTTCCTCAAACACCTTTTTTTCCTTGTCTGGGGCTAAGCTCTCCAAGATTAGGAACTTTCTCATGAGTTTTCACTCCAGGTGAGGAAGGACAGATAATGTTCTGTGTTGGATAAAGGGCTTACCCCGTGTGGCTCCCTACTTTGTTAAATCCTGTGGAATGAAGTGTGACAACATATCATCAATGACTTTGTTTATTCTCAAACCACATTATGCTGGAGTAACTGGAGAAATTGATTTGTGGGCATGGCAAGTTCTAGAAAATGACGTGCCAGATAGTGTGCGCCTTTCTTAGGGCACGTGGCTTGGTAAATTCCTACGAGCCAGGTGTAGAATAAGACTGTTCCAAATGGACACACAGACCAATGGAACAGAAGGGAGAGCCCAGAAATAAACCCACACATATGTGGGAAACTAATTTTTGACAAGGAGCCAAAAACATACAATAGAGAAAAGGAAGTTTCTTCAATAAATGGTGTTGGGGAAACTGGAAATCCACATCCGAAAGAATGAACTAGACTGCTGTCTGACACCATACACAAAATTAAAATGGATTAAAGCCTTGAATCTAAGGCTGAAACAATAAAATACATAGGAGGAAACATAGTAGGTACCAAACTTATGGACCTTGGTTTTAGTGAACTTGACCCCAAAGGCCAGAGAAGTAAAAGCAAAAATAAATGAATGGGACTATATCAAACTAAAAACCTTCTGCACAGCAAGAAAATCATCAACAAAACAAAAGGGCAACCAACTGAATGGGCGAAGATATTTGTAAAAAACACCTCCGATAAGGAGCTGATATCCAAAATATATAAAGCATTCATACAACTCAACAGCAAAAAAACAGTCCAATTAAAAAATGGGTGGAGGACCTGAACAGACACTTCTCCCAATAAGACATACAAAGGACCAACAGATATATGAAAAATTGCTCAACTTCACTAGCTGTTAGGGAAATGCAAGTCAAAACCACAATGAGATACCACCTCACACCTGTTAGATTGGCTGCTATCAATAAGAAGAAATAAGTGTTGGAGAGGCTGTGGAAAAAAGGGTAGTGCTGGTGGGATTGTAAATTGGTGCAGCCTCTATAGAAAACAGTATGAAGGTTTCTCAAAAAATTAAGAATGGAATTACTAGATGACCTAGCAATCCCTCTGCTGGGTATCTACCTGAAAAATTGGAAAACACTTAATGCTTAAAGATATATGTACCCCTGTGTTTGTTGCAGCACTATACATAATAGCCAAGACATGGAAACAACCTAAGTGTCCTTCAACGGATGACTGGATAAAGAAGTACATATATATACAATGGAATACTACTCAGCCATGGAAAAATGAAACATTGCCATTTGTGACAACGTGGATGGATCTTGAGAATATCATGCTAAGTGAAACAAGTCAGATGGAAAAGGACAAGAATCATATAACTTCACTCATGTGGGATATAAAACAGCAACAAATGAACAAGCAAATAAACTCATAGACACAGACAACAGTATGGTGGTTACCAGAGTGGAAGGAGGTGGGGAAGTTTGAAGAAGGGTAAAGGGGGTCAAATATATGGTGATGGAAGGAGATTAGACTTTGGAGGGCAATGAAATATACAGACAATGTATTATAGAATTATACACCTGAAACTTAAGTAATGTTATGAACTGTCATGTAATAAATTTAATTAAAAAAAAAACCTAGTTTCGTTGACTGTTTAGTCTGAATGACATTTATCCAGGTTAATTATAATCTCTATGGTAACTACCCTGGTAGAATTAAGTATAATTCATGTTGGTATAGCACTTTATATTACGAAGCAGTTTCTCATAGTATCCATTGGGTTGTCAGAAAAGTCATGATGTATTTTTTCTATGTTTTTCGTTGCAAAAATGCATCAGGACTTTTCAGACAACCCAGTAGATCTAAATAAGATTCCAAAAGATCTGACAAAATTTAAAATCACCTTTTGGACAGGTCTCTGTTTCAGCCCCACCTGTCCCTCCATGTAGTGGGTTGACTGTTGCTCATGGAAGTGTCACTGCTCATACCCAATGAAACGTCCATGTCACCTTCCATGTCAACTGCACGACTTGTCCAGCACAATTTAAGGCACAGTTAGATGCTCAACAAAAATTCATTTAATGAGTAAAACATGTTGAGCCCAAGAATGACAGTTGGAATCAGAAGATGTCTATATTTAAGTTCCAACTCTCATACTTTATCATGTGTGCCCTGGGGCAGGAAATGGAGTCGGTCTCCTCGTTGCCAAAATGGGGATAGTGATCTCCACCACTGGCTTGTGGAAGGAGGTTGTAAAGCACCGGACAGTGACTAGGTACTCAGTTATTGACATTGACCCCATTGCCACCATGGACAGTTTCAAGGTTCTCAGCTCATTACTGCCCTTCTCAACAACTGTTTAAAAATCCACTCTGCTTAGATGCATCACCAGCCTTTTGCCCTTTAGTTCTAAACACTGATGGATGCAAGAAAAGATTTTAAAGGGCAAACTTCCCTGTGTGCCTTGCCAAGACCCTTGCTCTTATAGAAATTCTCTCAGCCTGCCTGAGAACATATTAGTTTTCTCCAAGTTTTGGCAGCCTTTGTCTATCTCTAAGAGGGATGTAATTTCCCCTTCATAGATCAGGTGAAGGGCTAGCTGAGAAGGGGGTGTGGCCTGGATGTCACTCACTTGCTGAGGATGCAAGGTTGTTCCTTAAATAATTCTGTTCACAGAACTGAGCCGAAAGGGGAGGAGAAGCCCTAGGGGCCAGGCTTCTTGGGAAGGTAAGTCTAGAAGCCCCCAGGAGGCCGCCAGTGATCCAACTGCTATGTGAGATTTGGCTGTAGTAAGAGGGAGTGAAAGAGCCCAGCACTGGAAGGATTTCTGAGAAACAGAGGTAAGGAACTATGGCTGCAACATAGATCTGGATTTATTTCTCCTGCTCTGGGGCGATGGGGAGTGTGGACCATTAGTGGTTGGCTGAAGGCAAATGGAGTATGAAACGTTCCCTCTTCTTACTGATGATATTGCAAAACAAATTACATTATACACATACACACAAGTTCCGCTTGAAAAACTCTACAGTGGCCCAATTATTTCTGGCTAAAAAATTCAGTATAGCAAAATGTAATAGAACAAAATATTCATCAGTCCCCTAGAATTTGTTTTAATGAAGCTTGCACTCCATCTGAGCCTTTCAGTTTCAATATGTTTCAATTCTTTATTGGATTTTTTTTCAAGGTAGGTCATGGGTTACTTTCCCATTGTACTTTTTTTTTTTAAAGATTTTTATTGGGGGAATTGGAACAGTGCTTGGGGAATTGGGGGAAGGGGAACAGACAAGTTGCTGTCATTTTGTTCTTCAATCTAGTTGTGGAGGACGTTGCTTCACTGGCCCAAGCTGGCACCATCATTGCGCTCTTCTCGGGCGAGGCAGATCAGTCGCCGGCTTCTGGACGGCCGCTCACTGCGGCTGCTGGCCGCTCACGCTGGCTGCTGGCTACATACGGTAGCCCATGGCAACCCACTGCCACAGGGGCTGCAGCCTGCGCCGTCACCGGCGACTCATGGCAGCCCAGCTCCAGGTTGAGCCGCCGTTCAGCATCTTAGCTGTGGAGGGCAGTGTCACTGGCCCTCATATGTGGGATCCGAACCGGGGCCCTCTGGCATCCCAAGCGAGTTCCTAACCATCGCGCCACTCGGCCGGCCCTGTACTTTTTTTTTTTAATTAAAATTTTGGAATTTTTAAAGTTTTAAATTTCAGCTTTATTGTATAAAGGTATAACTGACATATAAAATTGTACGATGTTTAAAGTGTATATTGTAGGGATTCAAAATACATGTACGTTGTGAAACTTTTCAAGGAACCGATGGTGAAGGCTGCGAAGCCTTCTTCCCCGTGGTATTTCCTCTTTTCCCGAATTGGTCTGACTGATCATCTGCCCGTCTATCCGACCATCCTCTTCCTATGTTAGAAGAGATTTAGAATGACTTAGGAAGCCAAAGAATAGAAACAACTCAGCTTTTCTAACAATTCTATTTCAGACTTGAGATTACAATACCTCTCACGAGCGCTCCTCATCCCCGTTTCTATGAAACATTTTGTCCTGTTTATGATACTTCCGGCTGAAACTAGAAAATACTAAGCGAATGCTTTCCGTACGTGTTAACCTTGAGTTAGTGTTTGCGTGTCTTCTTAATAACTTGGAATGTAAGCCCCTTTACAATGCACAGACTCAAATGTCCAAATCCTGTTCATCTGTCCACACCTCTGCAGCCCCCACCAACATGTGCCCTCAAAGGAATCCTGTTTGTTGACCACCCTTTGTAACTTCTTTGGGCAGGATGAGAACTTTCTCTGATGCAGGTAACTTGTCCATTTGTTTCTTCCATCCCTTGGCAGCCTCCCCTGACATTGGGAACCCATGTTACTGACGGGCCTTGACCATTTCCAAGGGCTGGGCATTAGAAAGATTGATGTTGCAACTGGTGACACTGAACACTGCATCAGTGGCTGGGCAAGGGCCTGCTGGCTCCTCTGAATAGAGTTTGAGTGAGTCACACATCACTGCCACCCTTTTTCTCCACCCCTCCTCACCCCTGCACCAACTAGGCCATTTCAAACTGAGGTGTGGAAGGTTTTCCTTTCTCTAAAATATACTGATTATACAAGATAGAACAACAAGGATGTTTTTAGCAAAAATTACCTAATTTTTGGGGCCTTTTGTAAGTAAAATGAGGTGACTGGTTTGGGTGAATATCAGTGTTATACAATCTGGTTGGAGCAGTTTTGAGATCTTATTTTTCAATAGGCACCTAGCACCTGTGCAGGTTTAACACCACTCAAGTTTACCCTTGAAATAAGATCAGTCTATTTCAGAAAACAAGTAACTTTTTTTTTCATTTGCTGGTTTTTTCATTTGAACCCTTTGTGTTCCAATGTTAGCAGAATATTAGCAGTAAACGCCTTTGGAAAACTATGTATTTGATAACTTCGTAGATACTTAAAAACTTACCCTGAGTGTATTTGGTTTGTGATTATGGTGGAATTTTAGAAATTTAGTTGATACCTTTATTCAGAGATGACAAAGAGTAAGTACTACCATGAGGCTTACGTTGCAGTGGGCTCTGTGCCATGTTATACAAACATCCTCTCATTTCATCTTCATAACGTATTTGAGAGGAAGTTTATCAGTTAAGAATTGCACACAATTGGCTAGTCTGAGCGCACTTGTGTTTACAGTTGATGACAGCCAGTTACAGATTTCTTTGTTCCTTCTCTACTCCCATTGCTTCACTTGACTAGCCTTAAAAGGAACAAAGGAAAGAAAAAAGAACAACAAAGAATTGCACACAACTGCAAGTAAGAAACAGAGGCCAGAAATAACAGTGTCTTAAATAAGAGGGAGCTTTATTTTTTTTTCCATGTGAAAGACATCTGAATAAACAGCCCAAGACTGTAAGAGAGCGCCACGTCTGCAGGTCCCAGGCTCTTTGTAGCTTGTGCTCTGCCAGACGTAGTCCAAAGCTTCCATCTTTCCATTTCACGTTTGTATCATGACCCAAGGTGCCTGCTGAAGTGCTAGTT